CACTCCGCGCTGTCGTTCTCACCTCCCTCACACGTGTGCTGGGAATGTTGATCAGAGTCTGCCATATTGTCACATAGTCCTCCTTCCATAGCTCTTATTACAGTCTCTCTCTTGCCCCGTAAGATCCGTTCACCCTCTCCCTGGTTTACGTATTTCATTCGACCCCTGCCACCCCATCTGTGTTACTCGAGGCGTTATTCGCCCTCTCCTGCGTCTGGGTGACTAATTCGAGGCTAAAGCCTCTGAGTAAGTCTCATGGTCATGCCTTTGCTACATGGACCACGTCTATGGTAAAAACAGACCTACTGTCAGCCGTGGTGGAGACTGTAGCTAGTTGGCTGACAGCATGCCTGTTTTACCATAGACATGGTCCATGTAACAAAGGCGTGACCATGAGACTTACTCAGAGGCTTTAGCCTCGAATGAGTCATCCAGGCGCAGGGGAGAGCGAATAACGCTTCGGTTTCACTTGTCTCTGACGCTTTGTTGTGTGGTGGCGAGACTTACTGGCGATGCCGGCTAAACGTTTGGGAATGTACCACGTCCACGGTCCGACTTTGGAAATGATCATGCATACAATGGACTCCGGACTAGGTGCGTCTGTGAATGTACCACGTCCACGGTCCGACTTTGGAAATAATTATGCATACAATGGACTCAGGACAAGGTGCGTTGATGTACCACGTCCACGGTCCGACTCTGGAAATAATTATGCATACAATGGACTCAGGACAAGGTGCGTTTCGGAAAGTACCACGTCCACGGTCCGACTTTGGAAATGATCATGCATACAATGGACTCCGGACTAGGTGCGTTCCTCTAGTTTATTAATATGACCAAGTTGCAAAAACTATCTCAAACAACCTTTAAACAGGTGTGTTTAAAACACAACGTACTCAGAGTGATGGTTAAAGTATAATAAAGATGGGAGTAGTCATTAAACCTTGATGATCAAGAACAGTTGTTACGTTCTATTTCTAATAACTTTGAGCTATCGCTACTAGTTTCGTATTTATACGCACACTTGAAGGCACATAAACGCACACAAACAGAAACACATATTTCTTGCTTGTTTTGATCTGGTATTATGGTTAAATTAAACAAGGCTTAGAAGTTGTTTGACCCTGTTTTCGCAACTTGGTCATATTGGTAGGAAGATCTAGAGGAACGAACCTAGTCCAGAGTCCATAGTACGCATGATAATTTCCGGTCGGACCGTGAACGTGGTAGATTTTCAGCCTTTCGCCGACATCGTAGACGTAGTGGTGGCAAGAATGGCAAGCCTCACTGATCAGGCTGGCGAAACGTCTGGGAATGTACCACGTCCACGGTCCGACTCTGGAAATTATCCTTTATATAATGAACTCCGGACTAGGAACGTACGAAAATAAGGTCAAGCAACCTATATAGAACGAAATGAGACCGCGACCATACGAAAGGTCACACCATTTTGGTCTTACTTCAATTAAGTAGTCTATTTCATCTATCATAGTTTCTTTTGATGATCAATGTTGCTATTTCTAGTTTTTTCTTCTTTCAATGCTACTCAATATGCTGTATATCAAGTTATAAAAATCATATAGAGCTAGTTAATGATTGCTTTTTATGCAAATGACCGCATCACCTTGGTCTTCACTACCTGCATTGTTTTAAATTTTTCTAACGTTATATGGTCTGGCCTTGTATTTTTGTAAGTCAATTACACTTATTTTGAGTTGATTATGATGCTTTACCCGAGTACAACCGGCCCTTCTCTGATATGTGCATTAATATGTCCTACCTGATTTTGGAAGTATTTTCCCTCTTTTCCCAGACTTAGGATGATATAATCTCAATCATTTAACTCTTATGTCCGTGTAGCTTTATATTGATATCTTGGCAATATTATAAGGATAAGTAGCGGCCCATGTCCCCGACCAGTCATTATTACGCCCTATATGCATAACATGGGTTTTCCTTGAGGTGTCCAGAGGGAATTTGAACTTAAAATTACATTCTCTTGAAATTGCCTTCGATATTAGCGCTCTTAGTGCTCTATACTCCGCTTTGAGCTAGTAATCAGTTGTCTTGTCTCAAGGACAGCTTCTCTCCTCTCCAAGACCTTGCTCGCTAATCACATTGAGATTTTCCACGAATGCCAATTTCTGAAACCAGGAACTACTTCTATTTTTCTTGTTTTTTTTCGAGTATGGAGTTCTTTAAATCCAAAACTATTCAGTTATCACTGATGACTGTTAAAATTGAGTTATGTTCACTCTGTTTCGTTTAGAGGTAATGAAGGAATAATAGTTGCATTTTCCCACAATAATTGGAGCAGAGCTTACGGTTCCATTTAATTTCACATAGCCTTGCTTCCCCAAAAGGTGTTCTCATCCTTAATTTTCGACCTCACCTAGGTTTTATCAACATCATTAGCGGGAGTCAAATCATGACAATGTAGTGTGTAATCTCGAAATGTTAACCACTACGTTACATTACCACAGGTTTTCTTTGGTTACAGGGAAGATGTGATTTTCAAGGAAGTCCAGACATTTTCCCATATCACATTCTGTGATGGGATTGTCGATGAAGCAAACTTATATATGCCATAGCAATCGACGACATTACTTATTTCGTTCTGACTAGGTTCTCGTGACTACTAGTAAATCTGATCTGATTGATGTTCACTATTTCGTTTTAAGGCTATTTGCTTTACTGTCTTAATCCTTTTATCCCTACATTTTCTTTTTTCATTTATAGGGTATGTATAACCGAAGACTTTAGACCCGTTTGGTGGCTCTAATTCTAATGATACTCGACTATTGGTCACTTATTTTTTCATATTCCTCCATCCTATTTGCATATATTAATGATGATAGACAAGCTCTTATTAATATATGCATATTTTTACCTGAACTATATATCAATCTCTTATTTGTAAGTCTTTTATTGGCTTTTTCTTATGCTGTAAGCCGGGGAGCCGAATTTTAACAATTCTTTGCGATTAGCTCTTGCAAGAACAACCGAGAATGAACTCTTAGGATAATTATATGTATACATCGGTATTATTCAGGCGAATCTATGAATGGCTTTCTTCTTTGACGACAGACGGTATTCCAGTTCAGATTCATTACATCCCGGGTACTTTCATGCCCACAAGTGGCAAGCAGAGGGTGTTTAATCCTCGCGGTATGAAAAAATAAATTTCAATCTTTCGTTTAATTATTCTTGGCTGTTGCATTTTTTAAACCTAGTTTAGACTGTCTCAATGTACTTGATGGCATCACATATAGACTCCCTTTGAATGGGTACTTCTTAAATAGACTTTTTAATGCTAACTTACTAATTAATATGGGCAATTCCTTGTCAAATGGACGCAGCTAGCATACAATCGCATTCGCTAGTCGAGCGACTCCTTCCTGAATAATTGCGATTGATATTTCATCAAATCTCTTTATAATCTTCATTGATAATTCTATACTGGTCGAAACTAGTCTTTACAGAAACTATAGTTTGGGGTTGACTTTTACCCAAAATGATCTCAAAGGTATATTTATGTATTTTCAACTTGAGGAAATACTAAACTAGATTTAACTGAGATATGTTTTACTTCGTTATGATTTTGGATAGTTGATTGAGCAAAGAGCGACTCGATGTCCAAACCATTTGTTCAACCTTACTGAGGCTTCGTCTCTGGTCTTCATCAAGAAAACAAGCTGTTAATGACCTTTATAGTCAATTAGAATCTGACTAGTTTGCCTAATATCCACATAAAGACGGAAAAATTAGTTGTTGGTTTTACAGTTATATTGTGAAATCATGACAAACTATAATCAAAGTGTAAAATTTAAAAAAGTTTATTTAGTTTACGCAATAAAAGAGGATAGAAACATATAAAACTATACGTGAGAAGCAAATAAATGGAAAAAAAGCCGCAACTGTGGCGTGCTATATACTGAGTAATATTAGATATCCTGAAATAAAACAGCGGCGAAATGTAAGTTGATGGAAAGCAGATTAGATCCGAAACTGTTTGATCGCACCGAGTTTTAAGATGAATCGAGAATACTGAATCAGCCTCGCTTATTCTGCCCATCAATCATTATGATTATGCATGCTGATAGGATAGTTCATATGGAGTATTTTAGATTATTCTCTTTGGAATTTGTATGCATATATGCTACGGAGGAGTCGCCCGTATACTCGCGTCATGTGCCCCTTTGGTGCGTGCGAGTCAATCACTTCAATAGGCACAAGCTATCATAGCCACCTGGAACCTTTGCAGGTTGCCTCAAACGGCCCAAGCGGTTCGTATTAAGCCTACCAGCCTACTGTGTATCCGCGGTGCCGACGCTGTTTCACGGAGGCCGGAATACTTGTCAATTTGGGCGTTGGTATCAGCAGGTGGCTGGGGCTCGTCAGACTCGCTGTCACCGAGCGCAATACAAACTGCCTCGTAGTAAGCTTCGAACTCGCTGAACTCGATCCGGTCTGGGTTGGCGCATATTCTTGCAAACAAGGAAACAAGGGTGTCTGACGATGGCGCCAACTCTGGACCTGAGGGGAATTCGTAATAATATACGATATCAAGCTGTGTGTATACATTTAATAAAAAAACAATCTCCCAATCTACACTATTGGAATACTTTTCGATGAATTGGCAAGCGATTTACTTTATATTAATAGAATCGCGATTGCTCGTATAAAAATAAGCCTTTGAAATTTTTAGCAACAATCATTCTAATGAAGTATATTCAATCAAGGAGATGGGACAGCTAGGATCCCTGGATTAAAGTGTACAGTGATTCGGAAGTGGGTATGCTAAGCAAATGAAGCGTTAGGCTGTTGTCTACTCATCTTGCACCGTTGATTATGAGGTTCGAGTAACTGCAGAGATATGTCTAGATGCCATAATTGAGGAAAATAAGATGTTCTAGCTGATTGCGATTATGGTCCCTAAGGCCCCTACAAGGATGATTATTTTTAACAAGTATCATTAAGATGCCAAAAAATATTTACCTCTGATACATCGCAAGGGAACGGCATATCTGGATTGACTTATTCATTCCTTGGTATAAACTATGAGACTTCCTATGAGCCGATGCTTTTATTGTGGACTTGGTATAAATATATGTTTTTAAGCATAATGATTCATACCAAACAAAATGCAATGTGATATGGTAGAGACCTGGCTAGTTTTTAATTTCACGTCTGTCTCCTTACTTACTAGCACCTGTGGCAGAATGGCGTAGTGGTAGCGAGTGAAAACTAAAAATTGCATTACCCAGGTTCGGATCTCGTTGGGGGTATTGATAAGACCCAGGCGAAATTGAAACCGTAGTCCACACTAGATTGGAATACCATTAGGGCGATAAAAGTATGGGAAATTCAATGTTATCGTTAGGCCTACTCGTCTAATTGTGGAAAAATCCAGCTACCATTCCTTAAACATATCAGATAAATTGTAAATACAAAATTTAATTTTCTCGTTAAAATTGAAGGCATTACTTATATCCGTTATAAGTAGGTTTATAGACTTAGCA